TTACCCTTGGTTTGGGAATGTAAAGATGCCATAGCTTGTTTTCTCCACTTGACAATTGCTCTGGGGATCATTCACTCTGGCAACTGCATGCATTATGGATACATAGCAATTTATTTAACCAGTCCCCTCAGGATGGACTTTTGATTCTAATATGTTTTGCAACAACAAACAATGAAGCAACAAAAGTTCTTACAAATATGAGGTATGATCAAACAATACAGTGAATGTTTAAATTTTAAAAAATGTATTACAGTAAAAGACACGTTGTCATTAATCCCCCTCAAAATACTCCCCCTTGCATTGAATACACTTATCCCATCAGTCTTGCCACTTTCTGAAGCAGTTCTGGAAGTCCTCTTTCGTGAGTGTCTTTAGTTGTGCTTTCATGGCTGCCTTGATGTCCTGAATCATTTTGACTTTGGGGAAGAGCCAGAAGTCACACGGTGCCAGATCTGGTGAATAAGGTAGATGAGGACACACGACAATGTTTTTATTTGACAGAAATTGCCGTATACCAGAAACGATGTGTGACACGGAGCGTTGTCATGATGGAGGATGATTTATGGCACACTTTAAAACACACCTTCTCTCAACCGTAGCTCACACACGACTGACTGCACTGAACAAGTTGAAACTTGTTACACATTGTTGGTAAGGTTCGATGCACCGCTTCCTGTATTGAAGATCCCTGCCTTTCCATTGGATGGCACTCTTCAGCAGCATTCACTGTATTTCTTGATCACAATGGAAAGACTTAGTGTCACACATCGCTTCTGGTATACGGCAATTTCTGTCAAATAAAAACATTACAGTGTGTCTTCATCCACCTTATTCACCAGATCTGGCACCGTGTGACCCTTGGCTCTTCCCCAAAGTCAAAATGATTCAGGACATTGAGGCAGCCATGAAAGTGCAACTAAAGATACTCATGAAAGAAGAGTTCCAGAATTGCTTCAGAAAGTAGCAAGAACGATGGGACAAGTGTGTTTGAAGTGAAGGGTAGTATTTTGAGGGGGATTAATGGCAATGTGTCTTTTACTGTAATGCATTTAAAAAAAATGTAAATAGTCACTGTAGGTTTTGATCACGCCCTGTAATGCTTTTGGTAACTCATGCAAGTAGAATTGCTGGAACACACAGTCTTAGTTTCAATTAGTTTTATAGTCTTCTGTCAGAGACTAATAGCTATCCTCCAGTATATGTTCTCCTTTTCCTCCACTGTATTTAGTCCCTGATTTTTAGCTGGATACACAGCTGCCTGGAATAAAGACTATATTTTCCAGCCTTCCTTGCAGATGAATGTGGCCGTGTGACTGTGTTCTGGCCAATGGGATGTAAGTGTGCATGCAACTCCCTCAGAGAGGGAGAGTAAGCTCTGTTCTTTCTTACCAACTGGGTTGTGGTTGCAGTGGCTGGACTTGTAGCAGCCATCTTGATTCACAGGATAATCTTGGGAATGGAAGCCTCTCAAAGCAATGCAACAAGATAAAAGGAGCCCATGTTCCTGACACATGGTGCATTCATAACAGTCCTGGATTTCCTACTTTCAGATGACTTTTTGAATTTGAGAGAGAAATAAACATCTATCTTGTTTAAAACACTTTGGATTTTTCTCATACTTAAGTTGAACTTGAACTGAACCAACAGAGCCTTCATAGAGACTGGACCAGTTTAACTACTACCAGCACAGCCTCACCAGCACTATGTACTATTCAAATTTTTGATCTTCCTGAAGAGCCCTGCTCACGTCTGTTCTGCTTGGACCACAACTTGTATGTTGTGCCTGGGTAGGAACAGACATCATGTAGAAGAGTGGCCAGGATGTGAGGGGTTCTGGAAGCCTTGATATGGTGATGGAGTTCACCATATATAGCCCAAGTACCAGTCTTACCCCACTACTGCTGATGCTCATTGGCTGTGGGCCTTGGGCTAGTCGTGTCTTCTCTCTGACCCTCAGTTTCCTCATCAGTAACACAAAGTAGCAGATGACTGGTTGCCACCTGATATCCATTTCCCTCCCCTTAGTTATCCACCCTGATGTTTTGTGGGTCAGTGAAGCACCCAGGTAAAAGGTGACATTTCCCTCCCTCCATTGCAGTCACATGTGACCCAAGTTTTGGCCATTGGGATTTTAGCAGAAGTAGGAGAGACTTTTTTAGTATAGGCTGTTTAAAGGGTGCTGACTCAGCTAAGAGATGCACTCTTGTCCTCCTGCCTTTCTCCTTTCTGCTTCCTGAAATGCAGATATGATGACTGACTCTCCAGCAGCCATCTTGGATGATGAGGCAACTTGGGGAAGCCATTCACCAAGAATGGTCAAATAGAAAGACAAGCCCTGTCCCTAATGGTGACGGTGCTGCCATACCAGCATTGGACTGTTACCAACAGACTTCTTTTACACGAGAGAAAGAAACTATCTTGTTTATGGCAAGCCCAATCCTAACTGAAACATGAGGATGATGGTATGCCCTCCCAACAGGTTATTTGAGGGAGAGAGGATAACATTTCAAGAAATAAATTTGTACCTTTTTCTTCCTGAACTTTACCTTTCTCCTTTCCACATCAGCAGGAGTTTGATCCTGGGCTTCCTTGCCCAAGTAAGCTTGCAGCTTGTGGATGACTTTCTGACTTTGTTTTCAAATGCCTAGGGTTACAGAGGGAAGCCGGGGCTTGTGGAAAGAAACAGGTGGGAATTCCCTTGGGAGTGAGGTCTGTGTGGCCCTGAGCATTGGGGGCCCAGGCATGGTGAAGGCCAGGTTCCAGATAAGATGGCACACTTGTGAGTTTA